TGCTCTGAATTGATTCTGTAAAACACAAAATGGAAATTGAAAAGTTGTTCTAGTTATAAAAATAATAAAATTATCATTATCATTAGTAGTAGAAGTAGTAATAGTAGTATTAGTTGTAGCATATACTTAGTGTGACATCACATGCATGCCCTGCACCGGAGCATGCTGGGAAATATAGAGACTTCTTTGTTCATTTTGAGCAGAAACATATGTGACTTTATGGATGATATCAAACACCTCAGCTTCATCTGATTTAATGTATGTGGCTTGTCGAAATGTAGTTACCATAGCAACATGTATGTAGTAAGTCTCCCTGTGTGTCCAACATGGGAAAGGTCTGTGTTGATCATACGTCATCACATGCTTTGTGTTTTATTTAGGTCTTATCTCCATGATTAGCTGTCGTTACATTTTCTGGATGCTCTGATTTTATTCTGTAGAGCACTTTGTAGATGAAAATAGAAGTTGTTATTATCATAGTTAAGATTATAATATTATTATTTGTAGTAGTAGTAGTAGTAGTATATACTTGTTGTGACATCACAGACAGGCCCTGTACTGAAGCATGCTGGGAAGGCTTTTTTTATTGCTTCTTTGTTGATTTTGAGCAGAAACAGATGAGAGCTGTTTGGACAATACAATGACACAGATGAAATAAAGACCTCAGCTTAATCTGAATGACCTCTTTACAACATTATTATTATTAGCTTGTCCTGATGTATTTACCATGGCAACACAATGAGTGTCCATCTATGTAAAAACCCTCCTCACCTGTGAAGGCTGTGTATTAAACAGTATTATTCATACGTCATGTTTTTTATTTGGCATCTGTGTTTTACATCCTGTATGATTTTTAAGGTCATCCATGTTGGTTTTGACTGCATGTTCTATTTTTCATGTTTTGTTGTTTCAATACTGAGTGCATGCAACATTGGATTTCATTTAGTGAAGCAGTTACTATTATTGTGACATCACGGACATGCCCCGCACCAAAGCATGTTGGGAATTATACCGGGGTTTTTTTTCATTTATTTGTTTTTTGTCGTTGTGCAATTGAGCTGAAACAGATGTGAAAAAGTTTTGATAGTTACCATAAAAAAACTGCACCTCCTGACTCACTGTTTATGAGTATACAGTATTATTGTCCTAAAATCTAGTAACCATGGCAACATAATGAGCATCAATGTATGGAGTAAGCGTCCTCACCTGTGAAAGCTGTGTATGAAATAGTATTAAAATAATCATGTCTCATTTAACTACTTTATAGGGGACTTGGTTTAAAAAAACATTTTTATTTTTGCAAAGATTAGAGGAGAGAAACAGACGGCGGTCAGTACACGGGTACTTAATACTGTCGATGACAAGGGGCTACGATGGAGATCTAATACGCCAAGCTATGGATTTTCATGTAAGCACTACAATGGATTCAACATGGACTAACCACACCGTGTCACATGCAGCTCTGGTGTGCCGTTACATGTGTTAGTATTTGGAGGTGGTGACATCCAAAGACAATGATGAAGAGATGTAAAAAAAAAAGAAAAAAAAAAAAAGAGTATTAAAAAACACAGACCTAACGCATAATTCATCCTGAAAGCATCTTAAAACAATGATCTACTTAAAAACAACGTTGAAAAATGGCAAAAACATTTTGCTAAATAAGCTGATAGCCTGGAAGCAAACGGACCAGAGACAGTTTGGTGGTGTGATCACGAACATAGACTGTGTTTCATCATCTTTCAAGATTTGAAACACCCTCAAGTGCCAGTGAGCGCTCTACACTAACTAAGAATCTAACAGTGTGTGGGAGACTGGAAAAACCTCAAGTACAAATGAGTAGAGGTTTTTAGCTGTCTAAGGAATTGCAGAAGCAAAGCTGGACTCCAGCAGTTTCCCTTCATGTCCTGATTTGCTGTGATTGTGTCTGCTTGTATAAAGTTTCCTGCGTCCTGGCATTTAGCGGCTCCCATAAGGCTTCATGCTGAAATGCTGAAGTCAAGTCCTGTCATTGTAACTGTCTCTCTATATTTCTAGCTTTGATTTCTTTCCTTTTTGTTTTTGGTTGACGATTTCAAAAAGAAACAAACTGTTGATTCTGAAGCACAGAGCTTTGGCACACCAGATGCTCAACAAACAAATAAACAGCGATAGCAGCTGTAGTGCCACTAACCCCTTGCATGAGGCATAAGCGACAGAGGAAAAATGCAACCACGTACGAGGCTGGGGTGCAATGGCAGGGTGTGAAGGAGAGCACTACTTCACTGTGGTATCAGAGTCACTCCCTCAGAAGTAAGACAATAAGGTTTAGTGAGGAGAGGGTAAGGTTATTCAGTCGCATGTTCATCTGAGCAGCCTCTAAGAGTTTTTGTGGGACTTCGCCACATATTCAGAGAACGGAGAGGAGTACGAGGCTCAGAAGGGCTGAAAGAGAGGGAAACTCCTGCCCAGTGTTCACTTCAAGATGATGTGGTAGCCTTCGTTAGTGTCATCTGGAGAGAAAAGAAAGAGACAACATGGGGAAGGTTAAGGTTCTATGCTCAAATACAGAAATACATGATTATGATTTATTACTTCAATGTTCACATACCTTTCATTGTGTCCAGAACAAAACATACTTCATCCTGGAAGTTCTGAATCATCTGTTCAAAAAAAGTTAGAGTTAATGGTTTAATGTTGGAGGAAAACACACTTAAGCAGTTTACCGTCAGTTACTGACACGTGTAATTAAAACTAGTCTCATTTACGTGTCACTCGAAAGCAAAGACTGTAAAAATGAACGACACATCTCTACTTCCTCCAGTTATCCAGAAATAAAGCCAAAATATCCCAGATACAAAGGCGGCCATTTTGCACCAAATTAACCCTCTGACAAACGTCAGTGTGATAAGAACTAAAGTGAAAACCATCTTGGAAAAACCTTTATTTGACATGTACTCCACTAACACGGAGGAGGCAGGGTTTATGACCAATACTGCAGTCAGCCACCTGGGGGCAATCGAGATGATTTGGCTTCACTTTTGGGAGCCGTCGTGAAGTCTGTGGTTTAACATGCAACTTTGGTAGAGGGAGAGAGAGCAGGAGATTACAGAAGAAAACATGGTCTCACCTCGTCACTGACAAGCACATGGATGCCAGTAGGACCCTGTTTAAAAATCTGGTTTATCTGTCTGGGTGAGATGTTGAAGAGCTGAGCGATCTTCTCCGTCAGCTCAGCCGCTGTGAGCTCCTCCAAGTAGATGGCGTGATATACTGCGGCCAGACAGGAAAGCAGGTAAGATCAACATGATTTATTTTCTCTCTGGCATTATTACACAGTCAAATGTGCAACTTAATGTGGAAGTATGTCAGACAAGAACAAACTAACTAAAGAACGTGTTGGTGGCAGCGTCTCCGTTTTCGTGTTTCTGATCTCGTGCCTCCGGAGACTCTTGGCAAACGTAGATGGTCAGCCTTGGACGTACCACACTATAAAAAAACACGTTCAGATACTTGTGAAGCAGTTCTGGATGTACGAGGTAAATGACATGTTTTCAGGTAGGATTACGTTAAAGACCCACCGTCCCTTCAGTGCATTGAAGAGTCTTATACCATCTGCCGGCCCACAGATCTGAATGACATCCTCCCTGGTCAGTTTCAACAGGTCTGCCCCTGGTGCACAGAAACAAGACCTCGGTTAAGAGTGAGAACCCCTCCCCCTCCCAGCCTTCTGTCCATACTCTACGTTCATTTCGTCCGTGTTTGCGTCGACTTCCAAGAGCTTACAGAAACGGACAAAACAGAGCAGTGTCGACGGAAACCACGGGGGGCAGCGTAGCCAAAAGTTCAAGCGAGACGGGAAGAATTTTCAACAATATCGGAGGAGACTTTTAGAGTTGCTGATCACAACCTCCTCCACTGTCAACACCATGTTTGTTGGACTCTACACTGTCCTCTAGTGGATGTTTTGCTCAACAACCACGCCAACGTAAAAAACACATGCCGAGGGTAGTTACGGTTACATCTTTCAAAATGGACGTCTCTTCTTTTCTTATGTAAGGGAAACGTAAATGAGCCTTAATGGAAAAGTCTTTTCACTTTATCTCGCCACTTAATCAAACCAGATTTATTTCCCGTCTCTGCTCCCTTTTTTCTGGCATCACCGTTAGCAGCAGCCGTAAGGGACACGAGACGAAAATATTTGTATTACTTGCAATACTTCCATATCTGGGGGCCATTTTACCTGAGAAGTTGGTGAAGAGCCGACAGAAGGGAGAGAAGCGGTTTCTGTGAAGCCACTGTTGTGCATCCTGTGGAGTCGCTGTGGGTAACAAATTCTGAGAAGGAGAAAACAAGACAGACGGCAGCTGACAACCACCAAGATCTTGTTTTAAAAGTCAAGTCCATCATATTTGTCATCATCATCATCTTAGCTTTAAAAAGTGTGATTGTATAGTTTTGGTTTAACACGTACAGATTTTTCAACAGTTACTATTTGCAAATACAAAACTAACATTTTCCGACATCAATTTTAAAGACAAGAATTTAAATTAGGTGTGGTGACACTGTAACTGTGCTCTTAACATAAATTTGCCTGAATCTACATATTTAACCTCGAGGTCATGCTGGCAATTAAAAAAGTTTCAGCATAACACCTTCACTGGGAGTTTAACTTGAATCGTTTTTGACTCATTATCATCAAGCACTATCCTTCACACCACAACACAGGTTTGGATGATTTCAGTTTAACTCAAGTTTTCAAAGTGCATTAGTAAATCCACTGGGAGGCAGATGTGTAACACTAAGATGTTAGTTTTTTATTTGTGAACATTAACATGCAGTGAGGCAGGAGGAGGTCAGGCGGTCATTTCAATCCAGAAAATTAAAAATGCACTTGTACTTACATCTGCGACCTGAACAACAGGCTCCGGCTGGTGGGTTGGGGATCCGTTTCTAAAGAGGATGAAAATGTAACCATGTAAGAGTCTGTGGTCCTGAATGAATAAAACTACCACATTTCTGTGATAAATTAAACTTACAGCGTTAATAACAAAGTATTGGTAGAAAATGTTTACCCTTCCAGGACTGGGAAGCTGTTGGGTGTGCTGTTGAAGCCAGGAGATGGCGAGTTGTTGACATACGTGACCTCGGGCCAGGGAGAGCACTGCCAAAGACAAACACTTTTCTTATTGTGGCATTTGGATAAATTCAGGAAACGCTTCTGCTACATCCAGTTATAAGCTACAGCTTCTTCATTTACATTCAGCTCATGCACACAGTTTGTGTTTTAGTCTGTTTGTGCACTAGCCACAGCTTTATTTCATAGTTTTACGCAGTTTGTATGCAAGTACGAGTGTCTTAAAGCGGGCAGCCACTGGAGAGTTGGCTCTCGAGCGTCACAACCAGATTCCATGTGGACTTAAAGTTTCTTTTTAATGACCCTCGTCTTTATCATATTGTGATTTGTCTCACATACTCACCTCTGTCAGTATTGTGGTTTCGTAGGATGACTGGTACTTTTCCTTTTCCTGTGGTGCCCTCTTCTCCATCTTCTCCCTGTCCGTCTTCTGCTTTCTATCTGCACCTTTAGGCTGAAACACGTCATGTGTGGGTCATTAACTCAACAAGCGTTTGCATTTTAGCACATCAACTATTCCTCTTTCAGTTTTGCTCTGTTCCTCTCAGTCCCCTCACCTTAAAGACTTTGACCTGACAGGAGGCAGAGTGGAGGTGTTCTGTGTACTCTCCACTCTCATTCTCTTTAAAAGTGTCGATCTGGATGCGGAAGGGGACGCCCTTTTCACCCCCGTGCTTGCGCATTGTGAATTCTGTGCTAATGCAGTGAACCTAAAAAAGAAAGGAATATTACATTTAAATCTATAACGTTAGAAAATAACAATTAAATCTGAGCAATCAAGACAAGAAACAAATATTAATTGTATTAGTAATTACTGCTTGCAGAATAACATTCACTTTACATTCACATAATAGGTGAGTACACTAAATGTTAACAAGCTTAGTGCTATAAAATGCCTGAGATTACTGCCACTGCTTTTCATGAATGAAAGTGATTCAGGAAAACAACAGTGTTGCTCCGTCGCTCTACCTGGATAAAAACTGAGGTTCTTTTTGATGGGTCCCAAAGGAACTCCACAGTGTTAAGCTGAGCAGGGTTAGCCCTGGGGTCGATTATGCCGACAGACATGGGGATATCTGCAACGGATCAATGCAAAACAGGGTGTTATCAGAAGGAATCTTAATGGACACCATCTTCTCAACAATTTCATCACCACCATCTTGTGCTTGAAGTTCAGTTTAACAATCCAAATGCTGAATTTAACGAAGATTTACCGAAAACATCTTGGAGATTAATATACATACAAGGCTGCACAGCAACACTCTTTCCACAAACACAACAATTGCCATGGAGAAGAACCAGAACTCTCTCTGTGCTCACCCAGGTCGAGGATGCGATCCCCAGGCCTGTTCCAGCGCCAGCCTTCCAGCTGCTGGTGCTCTGTGTACTGAAGTCGTCGGTCATGAAACACTACACGAATAATGCTCTGAAATCCAGAGAAATTCAGTTAGGAGATTCAAAGGAGATGCAAATGCTATTCAAACACTTTCACTCTGGTTTCACCGGGCAGCATCTGACCTGTAAAACCTCTGTATGTTGTGGCGGCATGTCAGCATCTTACCTTCACCATTTTATCAGTGATTTCCGGAAGTTCCCCAATTTTCCGATTGTCAAGCATTCTAATTTCATAGGACTGCCCTGTAATGAAAAAGTCCTCACAGTAAATACATGGATCTCACATTCAAGCTGACACAGAAGATATATAACCTTTTTAGTCATGCAACATACATTATGAGACAGACTCATAATACATCACAGTATCTGTGTAACAAAGGAGAAAAGAATACGATTGAATGGTTTTCACCTTAAAGGTAAAACAGACCAAGCAGTCAGAAAAGAACGTATCACTAACTTGGTTTAAAGGTCAAACCATCTCAAACTATATTCCAATATATTTTTATAGTGATTGTTTTTATCTCCACCTCTACTGCCCGCTATCAAATTGGTCTATAAAGATTTACAGTGATTCAGCTAATAAAACTGGGGGAAGTGATTTGTCTTTCAGTAGCTTTTGACTCGTGCTTAAAGATGAAGAATTACTCTGTGACGGACCTTGGTTGAGGTAGGTGAGTGTTTCATCATGCAGTTTAACGGCCGGCGAGGTAGCTGCACACAGAACATACTGAAAGGGAAGGATCTTGTTTTCATTGTCTGGAGGAAGGTTGGACTCCTCCTGCTTGAAGATGGGGAGGGCAAGTACATCACTGGAAAACAAAGAGAAAAGGTACAAAGCTGTGACTTAGCGTCCAACAAACCTGAGACATTAATTTGAACCTTTTCATATTAGTCTACAGAAAACAAATGTAAATGTATTATTATCAACCTCATGTTAAAAATAATAAATCACATGGAGAGTCTCACACCACCATCAGCAGACAACACGTGAGGCTGAATGGAAGGTTTTGGAGTTTGTTAGCTTTCCAGTTCATTAAATATCATCCAGGAAATTTGGGTTACATCACTAAATACCAGGGTATCCAGCGAGTGTCTCATTACTCCTCTCAATACAAGAATTTCAAGGAAAATGCAGGTACTTTGAAGCTTGTACAGCCTCATGTAATGAGCCAGAAGAGGACACAAAGGAGTAATCCTTTTCCTGTAGAGCAAAAAGTTGGACTCAGCTAAATCTAAATGGATATTATATAATTTAAATCACGAAAAACTGAGCAGCAGCAGCATAAATATCTATCTGGACTTTAAACTCCCAAAACTAAACACCAGAGAATTGTGTGCAGGTATTTATACTGAAGGCTTTGCTGCATCGTGATGTAAAAGTATCGCTCTTCAGCAAATTCTTCATCCAAGTGCAAATCAGTATTTTTACATAACCCTGCTGATAAATACACAAACAAACACTGAAGAGTTGAAACAGAACCTCTTTGACAGATGTTATAACTCACATCAAAGTTTCCTGAAGACCGAGGTAATCACATTAAATGAATTATCTTAACTGATAAACACTTCAAAACCAAAGACATACTTCACAATACTACTAAGAGAGAAATAGTAATTACCGTATTACTGTTTGCCGTTAGTCGTAAGTACCAGTGCCCAGGAGGTAATGGTTTCATCTGTGTTAGTTTGCAGGATTATATAAAAACTTCTCAGCTGATTTCCATGAAACTTTGCGGAGAGGTGGGGCATAACCCAAGAAAGAGCCCAATACATCTTTGTTATTAAATTATTATTAAATTAAAGATTATCGTGGATTTCTCAAAGAAAATCTCAAAAATTGGATCTTGATGAAAAAAGTCAGGCGTGTGAAGGGGACTGACATTTCTGAGTCTGTGCAATCTGCTGCATATCCACATAAAATCTGGTTCATGTGAATTCAACTGTGGTTTCATAAGGGGACTGGTGGTCCTGGCAGACGTACATACACTCTACTCAGTGAGTTCTTAGTTAATTTTCTAAATATAATCACACAAATTAAATTAAAATAAAGTATTTAAATGTAAAGGGTCCCTTCTAGAGTAAAGAACGACATTTCTTATAACTTAGTTCATTACACACTTCTGAAAACACCACTAGGATTATTTTATATTCAATTTCTGCCAATGAAACTTTAGAAAAGAAAAGAGATTGATGTGACCAGACTAAAACAGTCACGGTGCACATGTTCCACACGTACAGAATAAAGTCATGAGACAGATATTGGGACAACAGTGACAACAGAGGACTCGTCCTGCACCTCATGCTGTAAGCTCCAGCACCGAGCTCCTGTCCAATGCCCGACAGGCTGGCATCGAAGTCCTGGACCAGTCCGGACTCGATCACTTCATCCGTGAGGGGCAGCTTCAGAGCCCACGCCATGATGGAGGGGATGTGGAGGTCCGGTGCAGCTCTGGTAAAAACTGAAGTTCCACGCGATCTTCAGAGGAAAGTGACACAGGGGAGTTTATCATCAGTCACGTTGCGATGCGAGCTGCTCAGATCCAAACAACCTGTTGGGAAAAGCTGCAAATCTTTCAGACTTCACTCTTGTTTCCGAACCACACACTCGTGTCAGAGGTTTTGAACTCACCTCCGAGGGAAAAGTGCAGCTACTTGCTGACACTGCGGAGGTCTCGTGCCATCACGTCGCGCTGCTTCTCCCCAACACTAAAATAAACATGTCGAGCTAACCGCTTAGCTAGCGACGCCTTAGCCCGGAGGATGCTAACCCCTCTGGGCCTCTGTTGACGGGGGTTCAGGGGGGTAAATGACTCCCGGTAGACATGTCTATGAACGGAGATCCATCAGAATTCACTCAGCGTCTTAAATGAACGTAAACGAACGCGTCGCTTTTGTTTGTTTATCTGGCGACGTCAGGAAAAGGAGCCAGCGTAACTTCCTGGTTCTTCTTCGTGTGGTGTTTTTTTCCCTAGCGGTAGCTCGAATGTAGCTCATTACCGCCACCAGCCGCTCATCGCTAATGGTTGAATAAGATGGATGGATAGATAGATGGATAGATAGATAGATAGATAGATAGATAGATAGATAGGTGGATGGATAGATAGATAGATAGATAGATAGATAGATAGATAGATAGATAGATAG